GAAGACGAAGACGAAGACGAAGAAGGGAAAGAAGAAGGGGAAGGGGAAGGGGAAGGGGAAGGGGAAGGGGAAGGGGAAATCAGGAAGATATCTTAATTATTCTTAAGTGAAGTCTGGCATGGCTGTTCCTATTTACAATTTATGAATTTTAAGTTGCAATAAAATATATTTGAATCAAACCCGTGAAAAATTATGAATTTTATTAATTAACCAAGAAACTTTAGAAGAGCTTCGGTAACGAACCTTCTACTTACTGAAGGCACTTTTGGAAGCCCTTTATGGATAGCGATAGCAGCAGCCCGGGACACGTAAACTTGATTTTTGGTCGTATTCCCAAGATATTTTCATTTTAGGTTTACATTTCGAATTAAAAAAATTTTATTCATATGCCATGTAGGAGGAAGTACATACGAGTACGGCCATGTACGATATGGCGTATGAGTAACATTTAACTTCTGCTGTCTCATACAAACAATTATGGCACATTTTCATTTGATCATGCAAAACTTGTTTCTTTATCGATCAATTTGCATCGTTAGTAACTTGATTTTTTACAAAAGAACAGGCTTTAATACAAAAGAAAAAATTACAAAAGATTTGTTATTTTTTTTTTTTTAATTTTTTCCCCGTTAAGTTTGAAGTTTTCTTCATAACAATTAAAATATCTTGAAAAAATGGCTTGAACTGGAAAAGCGGTATACAGATCCATAATCTACGACCCAAAACTAAGCATTTACTTATCGGCGTTTGTTTGTGTAATTCCAAAACTTATATTTTCGCAATGGCTTCCCCGTTTTACCAGATTCGCTCCGGTTTTAGAGGTAACGGTACTTGAAAATTTGATTAATTTTAACTATTTTATTAATAACTCTCTCAGCTTTGAAGTTATTTTACTAAAATTTTGCATATAACGGTTTTTTAATATTACCTTAGTTATTCCTTAAAATTATCGAAATAGGTTCACTTTAACATATACCTCCAATACAAATGAATACTCAGATATGTGTTCTGGCGCTATAACTCTAACCTCTTATCTGAATAATAAATTGTAAGCGTGCTATATGTTAAAGTGAACCTATACTAAATTTTTACCTGTGTAATTGGAGGAGTTATAACGCAAAACCACGTCTCTGATCAATCAGTTGTATGGTAGCTAGATGTTATAGTGAACCGATTTCGATGATTGAGTGGAGGTAATATTAAAATACAATCGTGTGCACAATTTTAGTAAAATATCCTCAAACCTGAGGGAGTAATTTTATAAAATAGTTACAATTTAAGCAAAGTTTCAAGTACCGCTATCTCGAAAAGTGGAGCCAATCGGGCAAAACCATTTAAATCACAGTTTCAAACTTTATACAAAATTTAGGAAAATTCAAAAATTTTTCATTAAAATTTCAACTTTTTAATCTGAATCTTTAGAACATTTTTGAGTATGCAGTTTTATAGCCCATACAATTTTAGTCAATTTAGTGCACTTCCGCAAGTTTCAACCGGCTAAAAAATCGCATTGGTTTTTGAGAACTTTTTTGTTTAGACGGCTTTTCGGGGTTTTTTATATAACAAGTGCAATTTGTTTATTATGTTTAATTTCATAAGAAATTCGTGCTTATATGGAAAAAAGTTTAAAAATCCGTCACCACAAAAAAAAATTTAAAAACCAACGGGATGTTTTAGCCGTTTTAAACTTGCACTTCATTGAATTAAAATTTTATGGGCAATAAAACTGTGCACCAAAAAATGTTCTAAAGGTTCAGATAAAAAAGTTGAAATTTTGATGAAAAATTGTTGAATTTTCCTTAACTTTTAAACTGTGATTTAGAGGGATTTTTTTAAAGCTTGGACGGTATTTTTATACAAAAATTACAAACAAAAGTAGCTCGAAAAACATTAGGTAGTGCACATGGTAGTGCAGAGTCGAACCAGTCGGAAGCAGAATAGCGTAAAACTACGACAGAGGGCGCCTATAAATCACGCAAGTGACTACTTTAGTAACTCCCGGTAGTGCAGGGAGAGCCGATGGTGACTACCGCCTACGACAAGTAGTCGGTCGGACAAGAAGTCGGTCGGTAATTGACGGAGTTTACCAGGTAGCTACCGATTCATCAGTCCTGTAGTCGCCCCCTCGTACTGCAGGGTTACTAAAGTACTATATGTACTAGCGGTTTACGCCGGCAAGTTTTGCGGCGGCGGCGTGGTCAACTTCAAAAAGAATCGGCGGCGGCGGCGACGCCAGCGCGTCTGGAAACGCCGGCGCTACTAGCCATAAGATAGATTAGAAAGAGCCATGAGACTACTAATCTTATCATGTCATCTCGTCAGCGTTAGGCATTCGCCATGCCAATTCAGATTATAATTATATTTAATTCATTCTTGAATTAGATTTGTTACTTCCTAATTGAATCAAAATGTTGAATGCCTGGCGCTGATGGATGGGCGAACAGAAGATCTAAAGTACATATATACATACATACTTGGTTCTCTATGTTCTCTTCCGATCCGTATGTACTATTTAAATTAAAAAATAAAAATTAAAAATTTAAAAATTTAAGTTATTGGAGTAATTTTTGTCACTATTAATAAATATTTGTAATTATCTTATCTACCGTTATGTTAACTTACGAATGTAAAAATTTGCAAAAAAAAGTTTTGCTTTTTATTAAAAATCTTTTATATTTACTTTATTAAAAAAAAAAATACACACGAAAATCAACTTGTTTTGGTTTTATCTCCAATATTTGAGGAGTAAGATGTACAAGGGAGCTTCTGTTTAAACTCCTTTCTGAGATATTAGCGTTAAAGTTTTTGTTGTGTGATAACTTTCTTCTTGTTGTAGTATATAACAAAGTAGTTTATTGTAGTATTGAAAAAAAAGACTACTGCGGAAAAAAATTGTCAGTTACCAGTGTTCGACTCTAATTTAACAGTATGTTTTTTTCTGAGTTACGCCTTTTTTGGAAAAATTCTTATTCAGTGGCCCAAATTAGGTAAAAAAAAACTCGTTTAGACATGAAATTTTCGTTTCGTAAAAACGCGTTATTTATACGAGTAGTAAGTAGCTCTTTCAAACGATTTATTTCAATGTGCATACATCATGAAAATTTTGTAAAAAAGTCCTTAGGCGCCGAACGCCGCCGCCGCCGCCGCCGCCGCTGCGCCGATATTTTTGTAACTCGGCGGCGGTGCGTGAGGAACGACAAAAAACGGGGCGGTGGCGTGGCTCGGCGGGGTAAACCTCTAGTATGTACCTAAATTTACTTTTATTTCTGTTCTTGCAAACAACTTTAGCACTTAACCTTTAATTAACTACATTAGTGACAATTAACCGTTAAAGAGGATATACATAATTAAGAATAGAAGGGCATATATGTACGCATGTATGTATGTACATACATGAATTCCCATAAAAAAAAAATTTCAGTTTGCTTGTATTGTACTTAGTAACACAAAATGTTCCTTCATGTGTGGAAGCAAAACGCGAAAAGCAATAAATTAAAGGAGCGTACCAAACTCCATCAACCTCGACGTTTTCATTCGAAAGTACTGAATCCCCAAAATGTGGCACAAAGGCTGCGACTAGCCGTAGCGGACACATTTTGGGAATATACGCAAACTACAAAAGTGAGTGGATTGTGGCTGCTGCGGCGGAATAGAACAAATGGCATTTCTAGGTATGTGCATGCTTACATATATACATACATATCGTCACCTGAAAAGCAAAAAAGTCGTAGTTAGGCTCATCACTTAAATGCAAAAGGTCGCCACTACTAATTTTTTGAAATGCGTCGTATCAATCAAAAAGTGAATTTTGAATTTTTTTTATAAGTAACGACGATGTTATTACGGCGTTTTGCATTTTGGGTTACGATATGTGGATGCATGTTATATTTGTATACAGTGAAGGCTCCCATAAGCGGACACCGATGGTCAGCTACTTTATGTCCGCCTATGGGTGATTCCGCTTATAGGAACTTCGTAAAAAATATCATTAAAAATCAAATTTAAAAAATTTTATTTTAATTTAATCAAAAAAAATATTTATTCTTCAAGAGACAAAAAGAGGATGGATTAACAAGTAAAAAAGTCTAAGTTCGAGCGGTGCCGATCATTAGATACCTGGCGCAATTATTAAATATAGTTTTATTCACCTTTCCGAAAACTACCACTAAACGTTAAGCAGGGGTGGTTTTAACCCTATTTCAAACGTCTTCGATAAACTTAAACAGTTATACGTGGGCGGTATCACGCCCATTTTCCACAATTCCATAATAATGTTACTTCTTTTCCAGGGATTGTTGTTAGTATCAATTTTGTGTGAATTAACGTCCTTACATTTCGAAATATCGAAGTTTCAAGCATTTCTGAATTTTACCGTTATATAAAAAGTGGGCGTAATTTTAGTCCGATTTTAATAATTTTCAGCGTTTTGCTTGTATGTGGCAAGCACAATAATCATTCCGAGTTTGGTACGAATTGCTCGAACGTTTACCGCGATACACATATGCGGTCAAAAGTGGCCTTTGTCGCTCCCATTTTCGAAAATTTTTTTATAAACGTATTTTGTGCTAAAGAATTATTGCAAACGTCAATTTTGATTAAATTAGCTTCGGTATTTACTGATTTATCGAAGATTTCGTATTTCTCCAAATTACCGTTATATGGGATGTGGGCGTGGTTATTGTCCGATTTTAAAAATTTTCAGCTATTTGTATGTATCCCGCAAACGATGCATCGATATTTTTGAAAAATCGATAATATAATGTTTAGAATTGCCTAAAATCGCTAAATTGACGATACATCGATGCCAGTTTCAACGATGTTTTAACATCGACTTTAGTGTGCCTCAGACTTGAATTCAACTTAACCATTATGCTCCTAAGATTTTTTGACTGGCCATGAATTTTTATTACTTATTCTTTTGGGGAACATTCAGAAATTTCGAGTTTACTCGTATCTTTCATTATAAAAAATGCTTTCTTAATCTTTAAAAAAAGAGCCGGGTTCCCCTTGAGCTTTCAACGAAGTTGGACCGCTTATGGGAGATTTTTTTTCATAGCGGGATATTTTTGAGTGTCGGCGTCCATTTATCGGAAATTCCGTGTATGGGAGAGTGTTTTGTGTGGAAAAAAACTAAAAACTGTTCGTTCCCAAGAATGTGTTCGCTTATAGGAGATGTCCGCTTAATAGTGCGTCCGTCTATGAGAACTTTCACTGTATACGTATTTTAATAAATAAACAGGTGGATTTGGTCAACTGTACTCATAAGTCTATTTCTACTCGGTGTTTACTTATCGCTGAAATTATGGTTAAAATTCTACTCATATCCAATTTTGAATACTATATCGAGTGATCTGGCTATAACCGACGTGGCATTTCCGGGCATCACCATATGTAGTCCCAAAGTAGTTAATCGCGAGCGTGTGCAGCGTTACATAACAACATTGTTAGTCTCGTATTTGAATTTTGGGATCACACATTAAGATTTTTTATAACTTCCACAGAAACATTCCCGACAACATAGATCCCCATGATGTTGCCATCGGCTTGGATTATATCAACGCATTTACCGATCAAAACTGGAAAGCTCCAACACAGGAAAGCTTCAGATATGCCGACGATGTACTACGTTTCAATAATAAAACTATATATGAGGCTGCCAAAGCCGTCAGCGGCAGCTGTGACGACTTCGTCAAGCGTTGTTATTGGGGTATCACCGAGTTCCCGTGTCGTCAGCAGCACGAATATCTCTCCTTCATATCGACAACTTCGTATTTGGGTCCATGTTGTTCATTTAACTATAATCCGAAAAATCTCTCATATGTACCATTTTCTGCAAACCTTTTCGGCATAGATGGAGGCTTAACTGTGGTGGGCGTCGAGGGATCCGAACGCAATCTTTCAACTGGCTTGATCGTCTTGGCACACCACCCCATGGACTATGTTACAGAAGCCACGTCTTCGGTTACAATTACGTCCAACTCCGAGAGTTTCGTTGAAATCTCACCAACTGTCCAAAGCTCTTCGACTGAGGTGCTAGAACTGTCGCAAGGTAAACGCGATTGCCTCATTTCAGACGATCTCGAGCTGCATAACTACCGGCAGGCAGCATGCTCGCTCGCTTGTCGAACGGAAGCGATAATGAAGACTTGCCAATGTGTGCCCTATCACATACCCAATGCTGTGGCCGCTTATCGCGAGTGCAAGTTAAATGACAGTGCATGTTATTCGACTAACTATGGTATGGAGTCTTCGAATGCATAGGAAATCAACTGGGAATTTCATTTAACTCCTACATTATTTTTATTTAGATGAATTTAAAAGTGTAAAGTGCGAAAGTTGTCTACCAAACTGCTATGACGTCACTTATTCAACTTTGGCCTACAAAACTGATTTAAAATTGCACAACTATTCGGTTAGCCCACACTAGTACGTGTATTTTAACTTTGACCCAAACGGTTGTTTATATTTCAAAATACATTTATATTTGCAGCATGACGATTGACTCACAGGACACTTTCATCGTTCGCGCTTACTTGACCAGGCAAACAGTGCCAGCAATACGGAAGGTGGTCGTAATGTCGTGGATCGGACTTTTATGTAAGTAATGTTGGCTAACAAAATAATTTAAAATATTTTTTGACTACATATATCCAGCGGATTTGGGAGGAGTATTCAATTTGTGCCTGGGGATTAGTATGGTATCCCTAATCGAATTCGCCTACTACTGCACACATCGTTTATATGTGAACTACAAGGCCCGCAGCGTTTTACTTCAGCCACTCGGTCATTCTCAGAACAGAAAATAATCGGGTAATTACATCTTCATATTAACAAAGCAGAAAGCTACTAAATTCGAAATATGCAGTCCTTTTGCCGTTGACCCGTGTATATGTTGATAAGTTTATGTGAAAAAAAAATATATATGTCTTATTCCGTTAAATTTTGTGAAATAGATATTCCAAAAACAAGGAATAAGCAGTGTTTTAAACCTAAAATCATTGTTAAATTAAAAATATTATAAAAAAACATAAATATCCTTTTGAAGCAAAATTAATAGGCTTTTTATATTTTCATTCTTTTTTTCTCTTCTTTTTACCAACATGCTTCTCAGCTTTTCGTTTATATCCGGTTTTCGTATTATTTTCTGTATCTTCGGCTGATTCTGTTTCCCCTTCAGTTTCATCATTATCTTCAATTTCACTGTGAAAGATTAAAAAATAACAATTAAACCTCAAACGCAATCACAATACATAATTTAAATCTGGTTACTTACCAAACTGTTTGCATATTCTTAAACATGTCCTCGTACTCCTTATCTTCTGGTTCATAACGCTTTTGATCCTCATCATTGACTTTTGAGCTTTTACTTTCAATCTCAACCAAGCCTTTTTCTGTCTCGTCATTTGGAGCACAGTTGAGGCTTCCCGCTGATTCTCGTATTAAGATTCGTGTAGCCTTTGACTTTACATAGCATTGATAGAGAAGGACTGTAGAGTCCACGTGATGGACACGGACATATCGATCCAAGGAAGCAGAGGCCAAATATTTGCCAGAGCTATCTAGTGAAACATCACTGATAGCGCCAGTGAAGCCTTTGTAAGTATGGACGAATGTTTTCATTCGTCTAATATCAAATGCCTGAATACATAGTTTTCGTTTTAGTTTCAATAATAATAATAAAATTTTTTTACTTACCTTCATAGCTCCCATTGTTGTTCCGGTATATATGTAGTTCCCATGTGCTGTCAGAGTGGCAAAGCTCATCTGCTCCTCGGTAGCAAAGCATTGAACAGGACGCCGTTGCTTACGGGTATCATAAACACGAACATAACCGTAACGTGAACAGGTAGCCAGTATATGCGGTGAATCTATAAAGCCCACATCACTATCCCACACTGGTACTTCAAGCTGAAGATAATCATTGGGCAAATTTTTCGAGCTGAACAATTGTTTACCATCGGCGGCCATATCGAAAATCTTCAAATTGTTTTTACGCCCTTTACCTCCGGTGGCTACTAGGTTGGGACTTGTAGGACATTGGCGTAAATGTACCATGTCGTCGCCGCTACTGACCACAAACTCTGATTCAGAGCTATTTTCTAGTGATATGCGCTGCACTTGGCCATTTGAAAAGCCGGCCACTAAATATTCGTCAAAGCGTGCCAAACCCACTACGGGGGCAAATTTAAAATCGATGGTGCGCTCTATTTTATCGGTATGCAATGAATGCAGCTGAGCATTCTGTTTGGCGCGCCCAATTAAAATTTCAGAGCAGTCATTCCCAAAAGACAGAGCTGTAACCCTATCATCTTTTTCTAGTTGGTTGATGTCATATAAATTACGTTGGGCAAACGGATTCTCCTCAACATTGGGCACAAATCCTGAGGAATTTTAATAAGGTACGAAAGGTATGACGTTTTAATATTTATAGTTAGGGCTCGATATGCACGCCAGTTTGGGCATCGTCACACGATCAATATCGGTATGAATACTGATAGATTTCGAAATATATATCTAGAATTTTTGTGATATACACGGTCATTAAATAACGCGATACTTGGATCAAGTCAATAACTATTGATCGTGTGACAGTGCCCATTGATTAGAAATGATATGGCGAAACAATGGCTAAAGGTTTTTGGATGAGATGGTCGAGGCGTTCTTGGCGAGTTAAAATCTTAAAATTAATTTCAAGAATACATTTATAAAGCGTAAAATAGCACGATGATAAGAGCCAACCATGCAATTATTCAATGAAGGTATGTAGCAACTTACTTTTAAAGGAGCCCGTACTTGTGCCAACGTAGAGTTCGTGGTTTTCATTATAATTAGGGTTTTTCAAATTTGATGTTGTCCACTTCATTTCTCAGTAATTGTTCTATATTTTACACATTCAATAAAAGCCGAAATCCTTTGAAAACAGTCAACTGAAAATTCTGATCCAAACAAACCGAAATACAACGCACGTGCATAAACAGCAAAAACAAATTTACATTAGGGATATAAAAAAATATCGAGCAGCATCGATAGTCGTGGCTTCAAACATCGATGTTTGCCAAGGTTTTTACGTTTCCGATGTTAAGTAAAAACATCGAAGATGTTTACTAATTTTTCACCATTTCGTTTTGGGTGCGATTTAAAATTGTATGCGAGCGTTTGGTAAATGGTCTCATGGAATCATACCTAAGTAAGTTCCTTTAATAAGTTCGTACATTACAATTAATAAGTGTACATAAATAAGTATAAGTGTAAGTCTTCTAAGAAATAGTTAAATTGGTTTAAATCAGCGTTGGGCCGACAGAGCTTTTAGGGCCGGTTGTTCAATGCTAATTAGCACAAATCGGAGGTAGAAGTTACAGTTAGATACAACGACTGCCTTATCGATCACATGTTATATGCATGATGTCGAAATCGTCTATAATGAAGTTTAACCGCTTTCTCTGCTCTCTATACAAAATGTATAGAAAGCTTAAAAGAGCTTTGCCCGCGGACAAGGCAGTGCCCATCAGTGATATTGTAAAATCGCTTAGCGTCATCACCCAATTTGCCAAACAACTTCGTATAGACTCGCCGACGAACTGGCCGTCGAATGAAAAGTCGGCGGGTCGGAAAAACAACTAAACTGAAATTTAAATACATTTCTATAATACTACGTTCCAATATATAAACCCACCTCATATTGACAAGTTTTACAATTAATTTTTTTCGTATTTAATTTTAGTTACTTTTTTATGAAAATTAATTTCATTCTCTAACACAAACTATATATATCCAATTTCAAATTGTATGCAATATTTAAAGACAGCAGCAAGCCATTTGTAAAAATCGGTAAAAACATCGATGTTTTAATTCGATACTCGAACTATCGAAATATCGATTCTTTAAATATCGATAATATCAATGTTTTTTTACAACCCTAATTAACATTTGACAAATTTTATGAAAACTGCCAAAGGAAACGAACAGCGTCGCATTGAAAAACCAGCTGTTCGGAACAGTGGATGATTTCATGCTAAAAACATGGTAAGGTAAAACCGTTCTCTCAATTCGTCGGTCATGATATTTTTTTGAAGTTTGCCAACATTTTAAAATCACATAAAATTTAGAGTAAAAAAAAGGAATTGTTCAAAGTTTTTGTTGTTCGAGATTGAAAATGGGAATGTGTGCGTGAGTTTGTGAGTAAAATTTTAAAATTAAATTGCTTGCAAACGTCAAGAATTTGAAAAATTCCTCTCAGCGGTTCTACCTTCCTATTTTTTTTATCATGCATGATTTTATGTAACAGTGTGTTAAAGTGAAAGTACATAACGTCCATTTGTATGAAGCAAGTTACATGAACAAGGCTGACGGTGACGCACAAATTAGCTCAACTTTCAACTTTACTTATGCGTTTGCGTCAAGTGACAACTATTTTCTGTGTATTGTTTGTTTATTTAAACTTAAATTTTTTCAACGCAATTTTTGCAAACAGCAGCAGCGAGTTTTTGATTTAACGGGCGCAATGGTATATGGATAGTGTGTTACTTGCCGCATAATCACCGTTGACGCTGGCATTGACGGTGACGGTGATGCAATAGACGTTGTGTGCTTTCGCGCTTAGGCTTTCTGCACATGGGTCGTCCAATCACAGTTGCTTCAACGTCACAATCATGATGCAAAGACTACGTGACGACTACACTTTCGCACACTCGGTCGTGATATTTCTATTGATTTGGCGGCTAAGAATACGCTTATAGCTGGTATTTTCTGTTTTTTGGTTGATATTTACGCAAAATTTTTACAAAAGCCTGCAATTTTAAAATTATGAACTGTGCTGCAACAATTCTAGACATAAATTTTCATTAATCTCTCTTTTCTTTTCCTGAAATGTGTTTTGTTCACGCAGGCAGAGGCTTTTTACAATTTGGCCATATTTGATAGTTAATATTCTGGTATTTAATGAATTTTGTTGCAATTATCCAATTTTTAATAATTTTCACAAATTGTATCCAATACTAATTTTTAAGCAATTCTAATGCAAATATTAACTTTTTCACTAAATTTTCCCCATAAAATGTAAACAAATAATGCGTGCATAACGATTAGCAAATTACAGTGTCGTATTTATCTGTTTCTGCATCTTCTACGATTTGCCGATAACGACAAGAGTGCATGTGCTCGGCTCAAAATTTAAGGGCGATACGATAACGCAACCATGATTGCACGACAAGTGTGCAGATAGCCTTAAACTTTTCTCATGAATATTTCTGTGGTCATAAGCAATAACCGCTTAAGTCGATTTAAGAAAGAATTGAGTTACATATGTATATATGCTATCGTATTCTGCAACTACTATTACATGTGTGTGGGAAATCCCCATCTCGCCAGATAGGCTATTTAAAAAGTTATAGACGACATATTTTGGTTTACCCATAAGGTTAACATTACAATCGAAATGTTTAAAACGTTTTTTCCCGAATTCAGGTTTTTCGACTTAGTCGGTTATTGCTTATGACCACAGATTTATATAACGATTTTACAGTTTTCAATTACATATGTACACTCATTTACTAAAAATTTGGATATGCATCTTCTTTTTCTACAGGATCAATTTTAAAACTTTAACATCTAATTTCACGAAAGCAATTTAAGTACAGAATTATTTTAATTTTTTGAATTTTATACGGAAATTGACAGAAATAAAGAAATAATTTTCGATTTAAATTGCTGGTGTAACCGGCGGTAAGGGTCGTTTTCTCAAGTAGCTTTTAAAATTTATAGGCTATAAACAAAAATTGTGTACTGAAAAAATATATTTGAAGGGCAGATAAATTTTAAAACCTACATGAGAAAACGGCATTAAATGCGTCTCCTAAAAATATCAATTTTAGAGTTTTGGCAGTCTTTTAGTAAAAGAGCGACATATTTTTATGTAAAATACTTACTAAACTAAACACTGTTGCGGATGTAAAACTACTGTCGAGATCAGCTGTTAAACGAATTTAGGCGAAAATAAAAACATTTTCACATTTTGCACAGAAATAAATGTAATTTTTATATACAAAATGTCTTTGACAAAGGTTTATGACGCCCCCACAGTCTTCAAAAATTTAAATGGGATTATGAACATCTATAAGCCAGCTGGAATGAAAGTCAAGCATGTAAAAAATGCGATACTCCACAACGTAACCAAAGGTACCCGGATCTATATGATTTACAGCTTAGATAAAATTTCATGTACTTAAATTTTGTTTAGATTTAAATGAAATGCAAGTCCGCGAGCCTCGAAAGCTAGAAATACCGCTGTTGGAACCAGGAGGAGCTGCGAATCCATTGCTACGAAAGATGGAATCTATTGATTTATCTGATCATATATTGGCCACAGGACCACGATATCAAATATCCGATATACGTTGTGCACTTGTAGCTGGGTTGGGCAGACACACAAGTGGTGTATTGTGTAAGTTTACCCTTTACACCAAGTAAAAGTTCATAATAGTTGCGTTCCAGATGCTTCACGATTTGCAGGTTTTTACAGGAAGTCGTTCCAGGTGACCACCTCCCATAAATTTTATTAATGGGGGAAACAGCTGTTCCTGCAAATCGTGAATTTCGTGAATATCGTGAAGCATCTGGAACGCAACTATTGTCACCTTAATGTAGAGAGGCCCCAACTCATTTTCCAAATTTAGCTCTGTACAAGACAAAGAGATTACTCACTAAGGACCTAATAGAATTTAATACCAGCTGCTACTCCATTAAATTAGTTTAATTTTTTTTTAACCAGTGCTTTAAGAAAACTTCAATTGAATAATTCCAATTTTAATAGTTTTTTTTTACTATATAAAAAAACAAATATTTTGATAGGGCCTTTCTATATTAAGGTAACGATATATACATACATGCATATCGTTGCTTATTAAATACTGGAGTACAGGAGCAGGCTAATAGAAAAGCCAAACTGACATTTTGCATTTTCTACAGGAAAGGCAAAAATCCAACACATACAGGCTGTATTTCTTTACACATTTCAGATAATCCAATTTCACAGCCAGAATAATGCGTTTGTAATATACGTTAACATATCATCAGGAACGTTCTAAAGAATAAGTAAACAAAAAAGTTTATTCCAAACGTTCAGAATGAATAAAGAAAGAAATGCAGCCACGAATTCTGTGCCTTGGGCGTTTTGAAAAATTTTATAAAATCGTTGGATTTTGAGTTACGACTCTAAAATTTTTAAGGAAGATTCGTCGTGTGCCTTGGGCGTTTTGAGAAATTTTATAAAATCGTTGGGTTTTAAGTTACGACTCTAAGGAAGATTCGTTTTAGTATAATAGTCAGGGTCGGATTAAGAATGTGGGGCTCGAGGCCGTTATATATGTAAGGTCTCCTTTTGAGTTAATAATTATATACCATTAATTGGAAAAAAAACTATATTTTAATTTCAACATTATCGTTAATTATTGACTTTATACCACGTGTGTTCTCTTGAAGTTCTCGCCTGAATTCCTTTGTACTTTTCGCTCATGTTGCATTCAGTATTAAACGACTACCCCCGGCAGTCTCGTTTATGAACGGAAACGGAATACTACGAATATTTTGTCTCTTTGATCCGGCTTATTATTTCCGCCTGTACTTTCTCACCCCTCCCTTATTTCCGAATTCTTTGACATGTCCGCGATCCTTCCTGTATTCTGTGAAAAAATATTTTTTTGTTCTTTCGTCATCACATATGGGCGCCCCCCAATTGTGAGGGCGCTATTCCGCGGCCCCGTCGGCCCTGCCCTCAATCCGGCACTGATAATAGTATATGTATATAGATACTTAAAATCGTAACCCGAATAAAAAAATGTCAGTTAGGCCCTCTCTACATTTCATCAACGATGTATAGAATTTCAACCATTATTCCATATTTCAGTGTTTGGAATTAATAAGGGAATACGCCAATCACATAAGATACAAATAAATCGTCCGCTGCGGGCCTATCATGTCTCTGGACGCTTTGGTTTTGCGACGGAAACGAATTTCCCTGATTCCCGAATTACTGTGCGCTCTGATTATCGACACGTGCATCCAGAACGGATGAGCTCGTTGGCTGCCTCCATGCAAGCTTCACACCAACGTAAAATGTTCGAACTCTGTGGTGTAGATCTGCAATCGCAAGCAGCCTATGAAATCGCTTGCAAAGGTCTAGTTCGCCCAGCTGATAATACACAACCAGTAATTTATGGCATCAAACTGATTTATTTCCAACGCCCCGATTTTACAGTAGAGGTTCATGCTATCAACGAATGTGAAGACTACTTAGCAGCGTTGGTAAATGAAATGGGCATTGAATTACGAACAGTAGCGCACTGCACAGCTATACGCTGCATACGGCATGGACACTTCAACGTCGAAAACTCCTTGCTAAGGCATGGCTGGAATATACGAGGTGTTGTGAAAAACATGCGACAGCAGCAACAGGTTCTGGAGCAACATCCACATCTATTAACACAAGATAAAATTGAATTAAGAAGTGATTAACATTAAAGTTAAACCGTAAAGTTGCCGTTATACAAGAAATAGTGACATCTTATTTTCGAAAATTTTCGTGTTATTCGTTTTGCTTGATGATACATTCTCCCAGGTAGAGTATGTTTTTCCCAGCACTGACGTCTCGATTCCAACAGGTACCGCATTTTGGGCAAAATTGGTACCTGTGGGGCGATTTGGACGTTTATATTCATTACATATTGTAACACTTGGCACAAAGTTTTGTTGTCCGGAATTCGTTCACCTTTAAAGCTGTTAGAAGTAGACGGTTAGGTCCTCGCCTATATCCGCGTATTGGCGAGTTCACAGCGATCTCGGTTGAACCTATACATATTAACGTACTATCTTCTCTGTTGGGGACCAGTTGTTTCGCAATGTGGTTGCAGGCTTTTTGTTGAGCCACCTTTCTTTGCGAGAAATTTTTTTGTTTTTGCTACAGTATTTCAAGCTGAAATTTACAGTATTCACGAAAGTTCGATGAATTTGCAGACAATTCTGATTTTGTGGTGAAATCTTTCGTATATTTACGTATTTTTATTTACTTTGTTGCACGTATTTTTATTAAATCTCCTGTATNAGTTTTGGTTAAACATGAACAATTAACAGCTACGCGAACGAACCTAATTCTGATTTTGTGGTGAAATCTTTCGTATATTTACGTAGTTTTATTTACTTTGTTGCACGTATTTTTATTAAATCTCCTGTACAATCTGTTTCACCTGGTTTCAGTTTTCTCTTTTTCACTAGCTTAGTTTCGTTTTGTACTTGTATTTGCTTTTCCATGCAAAATGGTATGGAGACGCCATCGGTCTGAAATGAAGAAAACGTTTTAGTGCACGTTGAAGGAATTATAAAAAATTTTCCAAATTCACTTTTATCGAAGGAAGAAAATGGTCCTTTGAAAAATTTTAATCGACACAATAGTTGATGGATCGTGTCTGATTTGATGGAAACCGTGTTTTAGTTGTGGTATTAGTGAACAATTTTTTATTTTCTTGATTTCATTATCCGTTGCAGGTTATAAAATATTTCTATGCAAGACCAAAATAGTTTTGATATTCCCTATTTCGTGTAGTTTATTTCCGTTCCATTTTAAATCGGTACGCATACGATCTAGTAACGCTTCATCTGGAAAATTTTTTGAATTTATATCGAAAAAGTAGCTCAGTGTACTATACACTGTTTTTTTTGTCGTCGTCAAATTTAAAATATTTTCGCAGCCGAGTATATGCGTGCATCCAAATATTATTCTTCGTCGATTATATATTTGCTTCATGTTTTACATGAAAATTCTTAGCATTTTGTGTCAGCAAATCACACAAGTGCATGGAAAGTGTGCTATAAATAAAACACCAAAGTACCAATACTTGAAATTCAGGCATTCGTACATACTATTCTCATCTGTATTCATTAATTACACGAATTACATTAGATACACGAATTAAATTAGTTGAAGAAAAATTAAAAAGCTAAAAGTTTAGAAGCTAAAAAATTCTTATCTTTAACAAAATTTGATAAACTCTATTATAAGATAAACAAATATGTCGACCCCACGGCCAGAATCACTTTCACCCACCAACTGTGCCGTGTGCCAAACTCCTGCTAAACTTTACTGCTCAGCTTGCAAGATGGTCAAATATTGCGGCGCCGAGCACCAAAAGCAACACTGGAAGCAACATAAATCGGAATGTCGGCCATTCCGCATGGCTGAAGATAAGGATTTAGGGCGTTACTTAAAGTCCAAGCGCAGCATTAAAGCAGACAGTGTCATTTTTACTGAAATTCCCATTATTGTCGGTCCAAAATGGTATCTGAACGAGCGCGAAGAACAAGTGCCAGTTATGCCATGTGTAGGCTGTTTCACACCCTGCCGTATGGGAATTCATTACTGCCCGAAGTAAGTAACTTGTTAACATTAAAGTTAAACTGTGCTCACAGTAAAAATTATGAAGTGAGTAAAAATTAGCAAAAGAAATGAGTCCGAGTATTTTTTATACTTATGTACATACATACACGGTGGACCCGGACACCGGAAGTTATAAATATTTAAATTTATGGTCGTTTTCAGATGCCAATGGCCAACATGTTCGGCGAATTGTGGCGGTTTGGACAATGCAGACCTCCATGGCGCTGAATGTGCCATACTCATGTTGGGACCTGGTCCAGCTTCTTCAGAACCACGCTCACTGATCGACTACTTTCGTACGGACGCCTTAGTTGTGCTGAAGTGTTTATTATTGCAACGGCAAAATCCGAAAAAATGGGCCGAACTGATGGATATGCAAAGCCATGAGAAGGAGCGCGTGGGCTCTGAATTACACGAGTAAGCAAATTACTAATTTTAAATTTTGTGTACTTAAGTATTTATGAGTTCATATTTCATCCATGTACAGTGATGCCGAAAAGCGGATTGTGTGCTATCTACAACGGAACTTCCTGCAACGACTAAAAAGCGTAGAACAAAAACAAAAGCAAAAATATCTGCACGAGTATGACAACGCGCTACTGCACCGCATTTGTGGCATCATCGAGACGAATTATATGTGTATTAATTTGCCATCAGGGATTGAATTGAGCGGCGTTTACTACATGGCGTGCATGATGGAGCACGCCTGCCAACCAAACTGCTACTTTCAATTTGATCAGCGCAACGGCTTTAAGATATCCATTATAGCCGGCAGAGATATTGAGCGCGACGAGCACCTCATCATCATGTACTCGAATATGCTGTGGGGCACACAGATGCGTCAGGAGCACTTGGCCATGACGAAGCACTTTCTATGTAAATGTGAACGGTGCCGAGACCCCACAGAATATGCCACCCATTTTAGTACAATGCTTTGCATGGGCGATGAGGGAAAATCTTGTGACGGCATACAATTGCCGAAGGATCCACTGGATATGAAGAGCGATTGGGCATGCAACAAGTGCCCGATTACCATCAGCGGGGAGGAGGTGAGTACTTATGATCCACATGTAACTCTTATTAAAGTTAACTGTTTTCACAGTCAGATGTACATAGTACACATGTAAGCAATAAGTCCACATTTTTCTTACATACATACATAGGTAAGATATCTTCTCACACAAATGGCCGATGAGATTGAAAGCCTGTTGGCACGCAAGCCCACAGTGAAGCAACTGGAGGCGCTTATTGAGAAACTATCAAAGTTTTTGCATCCGCACCATTACCATTTGTTCAATTTGAAACATACGCTGATTCAGTTATACGGCACCGAGTCTGGATATTTGCTTGGAAAATTGGACGATGGGCTCTTGACTAAGAAACTACAACTTTGTGAGCAGCTTTACGGGATCTGTCAAAAACTAGACCCTTATACCATACGCTTGTCAATTTACGTTGGCATTATACTGTACGAAATGCAAACAGTTCTGGTTGAACGAGGTAAACGTCTGCTTGCCAACGCCAATAAAACCGAAGATGATGCATCGAGGGCATTGGATGCGTTTAATTTAGCTCGCGAGAAACTTCTAATAGCAGCCAAAGTCCTGGAAAAAGAGTTGGATAATGTCGCTGGCAGCAAGTTGAGTGATGCTGTACTGAAGGCGCTTAATGACGTTTATAAAGAGCAACAGTTACATAATTAATCAGTAATTTTCAATATGCATATTTAATAAAAAATACAGTGTAATTACTATTGAATTTGTTTAACTTCATAAAGTTAAACTTTTTTCACAGTCAGATTTACATACATATTTTTCGCCATATAAGAAACAATGACATCTTATTTGCAAAAATTGTGGTGTTTTTCGTCTTGATTGATTATACATTCTAAAAGGTATAATATATCACGATTCCAACAAGTAAGGCAATCTGTGTGACGATTTGGATGTCAGGTTAACTCGGACTAAATCCGGATCAATTGAAGTTAATTCCCCGAGTTGATACGGATCAACGCTGCCGTCTGTTTATGCTTTAACAAAATTTTACTGTCTCGGCAAATCCAAAATTTTATACACATAGAAATCGAGCACTGCGCTAAAGCAACTTTCACTTTATAATCACAAAACCTATAGTAGATAGGGATGTAAAGACATCGATGCCGAGCCCGAGGACGACCTCTGGAAATGGTTTTGTGCAGCATAGCGTACTAACGGTATGCAATGGCCAATCACAGCGCATATTCTATTTTACAACGCCGAAGACGACCTCTGGAGGTGGTTTTGTGCAACATAGGGCCAGTTTTCCAGTACACGGCCGTAGTTTAAACTAAGTTAAAGCGCCCGATCTGGGTGGTTTAAGCTAAGATCAGACAATCAAATGTCAGCCAGCTGTTCAATTTAAACTCAGTTGACTTAATCTAAGTTTAAACTGGCACTGAAAAACTGGCCCTAGCGTACTAACCAGTGTTGCCGCTTTGATCCATATACTTCAAAAGTGGTTCGTGTTTGTGCAAATTTTCGGAAGATACCTTATTTTTCGCTAATTTCACGGAGATACTTAAATTTTTCGCGTAATACAAATTTTGATACATGTTAAAGAGAAAATATTTATGTATGTATGCAGTGGCAGCTTTTAAAATTTGATCGAAAATGTTGAAACGTTTCGGGGTCAAATAAGCTTAAAGAAAAATGCCTCAAATGAACTATGTAACTATAAAGAGCTGATTTCATTAATTAATTAATTTACTTTACTTGCCTCATATATAGCTCTGAAGCTGCAGAGCGTATATTTTCAGATTTAAAATTGATCCAAATTGAAAAGAGAAATAGAATTTCATTACAAACTGTTGAGAATATGATGGGTAAAAATAAAGTCGACACTGAATGCAGTATCAGCTTTTTGACTTAATTTCCAACCAGTTTAACGTGGAATGTATCAGATAACTTGATATTTAACGTAAATAATCGACAGCTAATAGTTTTAAGATGTACATATATTTGAATTCAAGTTTCTATAAAATCTATACATAATATTTTTGTTAGTATCTATACAAGATTAAAAACAATAATGTCTTTCTTTCATCTTTCTTCATGTACAAACATACATATGTATGTGTATGAATGCGAATTAATGATTTTTCGGTTATTGACAATAATAAAAAGCGATGGTGAATCCAAATAGAATTTTTTTTAGTTTTTTCATACTTGATAATTTGATACCTAAATAAAAAATGTGTGATACATTTGATCCATTTTTTGTTTCCCTTACGATACATATTTTCATGGCGTCGTGGCAACACTGGTACTAACGCTATGCAATGGCCTTTCACAGCTCATCTTTTTTTACAACGCCGAAGACAAAAACATAAAAGTATAATTCCTAAACTTTGTGCAAAACTCGCAAAAATTCAGCAAATTTTCTTCCAAATTTTCCACTTTTTATTCAGATTTTTTTCAGAATTAGAGTATTCAGTTTTGCAGCCCATTAAATTCTAGTAAAAAAATGCAAGTTTGGAGTTAGTCAAAAATCGCATTGATTTTTGAGCATTTTTTTATTGAAGGTGTTTTGCATTTCTTCCATATAAAGTATTTTCGAACAACGGTAATTCCTAGCTACATAAACTTGTACTTTATTATAATAAAATTGATTAGGCTACAAATTTGCATACTCAAAAAAAAATTAATTAATAAAAAATTAAAAAGTTGAAAATTTGCATGAAATCTTGCACAAAGTTTAGGAATTATACTTTTATGTTTTTTGTTGTAGAATGAACAATATTATTATACGAAATTAACGGAAAAATATTAGCATATATTGTGAAAATTTTGCTGTGCCAATACTTTGTTCCGGCACTGTACGTTTATAAAGAACAACAGTTAACTACATAATTAACCAGTAGTTTTCAATACACATATTTAATAAAAATATGAATTTGTTTTAAAATTCTTTTCTAAACGAGCATCTAAAACTTGGTTTCCTCCGATATTTTTATTGTGCAGTAATTATTGGAAAATTTTAGGGTATTTAATTTAATACAATTTGAGTAAATCCTTAATTTTTAATGTAGCACAGCTTTAGTTGAATATGTCAACTGGTTCTTGAGGGGCATCCAAGTCCCTGTACTGTGTTAATTGACGATACTTATTCGCGGGTCTGTAAGCATATAAGCATAAATACAATTTATTTATATTTAGTCTCTTTTATTCATTTTTATTTAGGGATTATTTAAAATTACTTAGTTCATTAAACTAAAGAAACAAAATTAACAGCCAATTTCACGAAAGCAATTTAAGTGAAAGTTATTTTAAGTTTTTTAATTTTATATGGAGTTTGACAGAAAATAAAAAGGTATTTTCCACTTAAATTGCTGGTGAAAGCGGCTGTAAGAAATATGAAAATTAATTAATGGAGCAGTTGTAAGTTGTTATAGTTGTACTGCTACGAATCAGAGCATTTTAATCAAACATATCGAAATTTGCAGGTGCATCCAGGTCATGATAACCAATAATACGACGTTGTTGCTCCATTGGTTCTCTGTAAAAAGTTTGTACACAACAAATTTCACAATACATTCGTAAATATAGAGTGGATAAAGAACTTAAACTTCGACAAGCAAAATAAACAGACCAATATAAAGTACTTAAACTACTTCGAAAAACATGAAATACATTCAAAAAGTTATCGATTCCAAAATTTTAACTACCTGCGGCCAGCTCCAAATCCGCGCCCACCACGACCGGGCATCATCATAGGCGGCGCATAAGCAGCGTATGGTGGCATAAATGCAGGCGGATATATCGGTGGTCGGTACCTAACGAAAAATAGAAAACGGCTTAGAAATAAACAAGAGCGCAATATTATAACTGGTAAATATACCCTAGGCCGCCAGACTCCGAGGTGGTCCGTTTAGTGGTGCTGGCATGCTCGGGAAGTTGTGGCCTTTTTGGATCGCGCAAATAATTATTGAAAAACTCTACTTCTTTGCGCACTTCATCCACCTTTTCCGTGTGCTTATTAAATATGTGTTTGCGTATAAATTCTGGGCCCTTAAATTTCTTTCCCGACAACGGGCACAACCATTTATCTTTTGCCAATTCCTGCGTGTTTGCCTGTACGAATTTTTCCACCTCAGCCTCGGCGTCTTTGCTTCCTAAATTTTTAAGTTCTTCATCGTCAACAGTTGTTGCCTTAGCTAAGAACGTTTGCATTTTGTTTTCGAAATTCTTGATGTAATCCTGTATATCATTCTGTGTGACTTTTGAGGGTGGCGGGCCACGCGCGTGTATTATGCCGCAACGGTTGGGCATCTCATCCTCATATGGATACTCGCAGTGATTATAAAAATCAACGGAATGCACAACACGAAGATATAAAATCAAGCAATCAAGCACAGAAATAAGTGGTGCATCTCTCTCAATTATCTCGCCGTCCGATTCTTTATTTTCGCCAGAGATGCCAAGTAATTCTTCCTCTTCTGCTGATGCTTCTTCGATAAGGTAATCCGTAATGTTTTGTAGAACTGGATTATTTGACTTAAAGCCATATGATCCGCCACTGTCGCCATTACCTTTGGAATTATCGCATGCTTGCTTAGCATCCCCATCAGACTCCTTATCCTGTCGAGTAGACAAGTAATAATAAATGTACAATTAAACTTGCAAATAATATTTACCCATAGCTTGAATTTATCGTCTAAGTTCATAGTAATCTTTGCGCATAGTTTGATGTCGGCTCGGACGATGGATTTATGCGCTGTCATTCCATTAACCGGTCGTACACGTCGACTTAAGTCACGATTCACGATTGCGCCCATCTCGCAGTCTCGAAGTCGCGTATTATTTAAATTCCAACAGATCTCTTTGATATTCACGTCCCGCTTGAATGTTACCCAACCTCGACGGTACCAGCGCCGATCAACTAAAGGATCGGCTATAGCCACACGTAAATAACCATCAAAACGTTGGCACAACGTTTCAATCTCAGCTTTGGTTATGGACGGCGCAAGGTTCCGCAAGAATATTGAAGAAGTCCGGTGGAGCGCGCGGGGCTGGGGTTCCTCCTTGACTTTGTCCAAGTCAATAGTCTCAGGTTGGTCGTCATTCGTTTTCGTCTTCTCAGC